AGGCTATTAGGAGTTAAACAGGGGTTACCTAGCTTTGGAGAGTCATTGTAAATCCCCTGTTTTATGAATGAATTGCGATGCTCAATCTCAAGGTGGGCCGCGATTCCCACTAAATTAAACATTGGCCAAATCGGCCACTGGGACCGTAACTGATGATAGACGAAATATAACCTCAGAAGAAAACTATTTTTTTGAATTTTACGCATGCTTGACTATCTCTACCTGATGAATCTAAACAAAGACGAAACCGTCGGTCGTGGAGTGTAGGGATGGGGGAGAGCCACACCGAAACCTCCCACTTCGGTGACGGTCCCAATGACCGTATTGGCAGAGGCTGACTTCAAAGCCAACCGAGGCCGCAACTGAGATAGTGTGTCGAAATCGAAGACAAATGGCGGGTGTTCCAAAAACCAAAAATCATAATATTGCAGTTTTGAGGGCCTTCCCATGCTCGTTGGACGACAGCTTCAATGGTAAAGTTGAAGATGAGAAGTGAAATCGAGTCACCGTGGCTAACGCCGCTGAGGACGGCAAACTGAAAGGAAAGCCCGTAGTAAGCCATGACTTTGCCAGAGGTGTGACGGTAGAGATCCTTCATGATGATCGAATGGCGAAAAGTCGGAGAGAGAACGTGAGTGTATTAGCCGCATAATTCGTGACCAGGCGCGTAATGAAATCCGTTCATTATAAAAGTTCTACGTTCACATTAAATTTAAGGTTATGGTTCGCAAATTATGGCAATGTATTATAAATGGCAGAGTACTCGAATCTGTGCGATACTGTTCAAATAGGTAGTCTGATCAACTAGTACAAAAGGATCGCAAGGGATAGATACATGACCGGGTTTTCAAAATCAGTTCCCGAATACATTTTCGAATTGTTCAAACAGGCAAATTTGTTAGAAAAACGGGGAAGTTGAGAGTAGGATGAAAGTGTCTATAGTAAAAAGCTCAGATGAGGAAATACGGCTACCTGTGGAAGCGATTCGTGGGGATCTGATTTCACGCGTCCTCCGAAACGGTTCATCCGCACTCCCACACCCCATCTGGCCTTGTGGCGGTGTAGCAAGTAAGCCATCAGTCGTTGTCAACAGTGGAGAAAGATATTGAAAAAATAGTGACAAATAAGTGGCCTAAATCAGACAATTTCTGCTTCCATTTTATGTAAGTAATACCGAGATAGATCTAACCATTCCTGCTAATCGAGTTGTAGAGTAATTGATATGGAAAAATGGACTCCACGAAACATTGTTGGTAAGATTTGTTGGGTTCAAATCCCACTCTGAGTTAGCTGTTGTTGCGCGGAGTCTAGTCGAAAAGTTAGCGGTTCCACCATAACCGAGGGTGCATCCGATACGCATAATAAACATGCGGGTTTTCACAATCATCGTGCGGACGACGTGTGCCTGAGTCAGAACATGTCCACGAAACGCGCTCACTTCAAAGATACCAACACTTAACTGAGATAGTTGACTATTTTTCTCATGGAGTAAAATGTGACTCCTATGGAACAGTTCAAATCACGAATTGCGATATATGCCAAGGGTAGATTTTGTTGCGAATCAACAATGACTGACACGGAACCTAACTCGGTGTTGTTTGCTTGTTTTTTTTCCACACAAAAATGAATGAATAATGTCGCCTCATTGATTGACGGAATGGTAACACATACAAGCTGGAGAGAAAAGCGTCACACACCGCTATTCGCGGAAATTTCGCTACCGAAATCGATGAGAGCAGGATGTGATTGAATAAGACCTGTGACTTGATTGATAGCACTTCGGAGGAGTAAGTAGGTGTGAAGTTACGAGAGCAAAAATAGTTGCACTAGGTTGCACAACCAAGCGTTAAGAAAACAGTGTGCACTAGTTAAGTTCACGTGAATAAAATCACAGGACCAAACAGCAAAATCACACTTGCACTTGTCATCAAGTTTGGTGCACCTTGTTGATGGAAAAAACACCGAGTTCATCGATATTGCATGCGCAAGACGGAGTCGCTCAGGAAACCATTCAGTAAAGCGCGTAAGGAAACAAAACAGCTCAGTAATCAGGCTTCGTCCGACATGACGCGACCAGTCTTGCTTACCATGCAACAATAGAAAAATTAATAATACAAGGTGGCATCGATGATCAGAAATCGGGCATAAAAGAAGCTATACGGACACAAGCAACAAAAGGCTGGCAAGTCAACGAGTAAGGTGAAGACCCAAGGGAGCTTGAAGGTGACGGTCGGCGACTTCTGTAGTTAGAGAGAGCCGGGTGCTATCAATTGGTAATGACCATATTCTCGGTCAAATAATAGGTGAACACCAAGACAGTCCGAACCTCAACATCGGTTCCGATGTGTCCAGTGACCAATGAGGCCTATGCCGTCGCTAGTCGCACAGTGGTCGTAAAAATCCTCTAACTCGGATACATATCATTAGGGTAAAGGTTTTGATACCCGAAGCAATAGTAGCATCGCTCGCTCCTGTTACCCTAGTTCATAGGAGATTTAAATGTTCTAATTCATTGAGTAGAAACCGTCTGATTACGGTCCGAATAGGTAATGGACACGTGCCTCGGGATGAATCAAAGTCACTTTCAATGCAAGCGACAATGGTTGGGCAGGCAGATAGCGAAGAAGTATTAAGCAGTGGGAAGAATTTGTGCTTTAATCGAAGGGTTATTTCCAAATCATCGTAGATATCTGGTTGTCATAAGGTTAGAACGGATGAGCAACAACCCACAACCGTGTGCGGGCAGAGTATTAAAAGTCCAATTTTCAAAGGCGTCATATGTTCAAACAGTGTAAAATAATCGCTTAGTGACCATCGACACAGTTATCCGGAAAGTGATGGAAGTGGTCGTCGCCGCGACTTTAGTTAATTAAGTAAAAATGCAGTATAGCACCAAATCAGAACAGCTTCCAGCAACACCGTTCCTGCAGCAACAATCTATGGATGATACTAGTTAATGGGATGGAAACAAACGATGATGGTGCGGAGAGATCGACATGATCAACCAGGACTTTTCTAAAGCTTTCACCGTCTGGATCACCGCAACCTGCTTTGCAAACTCCAGTGCGATGGAATATGAAATTCTGCTCTTGGATGATTCCGAAACATCTTTCGCCAGTGTAGCCTGCAACGGTGTGCTGTGGGGTCAATCTCCAACCAGACTGAGGTAGAATGTGCCGTTCCACAAGGGGGTCACCACCTTTGCTGGTGTTCATCAAGGGCCTAGCAAGCGCTGTGACCTCAAATGTTGCGCTTTTCGCCGACAAAATCAAGACGCATGGAGAGGTTTGCAGTGATGTAGATCACAAGCTGTCACAAGGTGACACGGACAGTATTCATAAGTGGTTGACGAGGAATCTACATGTTTAATGCAGCCAAATGTAAGTCATCAGTAAGTAAAAGTGCATAAACCTGGAGAATAGGTTGTGCAGAAAGGCTCCTAGGTACGTGACCTCGAGACACTCGATCAAGACGATCGTTCCGGCTGGAAACAATCCGATAAGGCGTCCAAAACCGGCAATCAGTCGGCCTTTTGTGCAGTGACTAGCCTGATTAACTTTGCCATTTATCTATTGATGACTGATGGCTACGTACGATCCGACTTGGAATAATCGACCCGGGCTTCGAATTCCCGGCAGAAGCACAGTCTACAGAACGAAGGGCGTCAGAGAGTATCAAGGACCCCTACAGCGTGCACCAGCAACTTGGGAAGAAATACATCGGCAGTCGGTATCAACGTCTTCGGAGGGAACTCATAGTGACACAATAAATCCTGTAACACCTCAACCACACGGCTGACATGCCGTAAAAATTCCTCTACTCTTTGAGTGTGCCACCGTGGAACCCCCGTAGGATCCTAGATTAACGGTACTTCAGAAGCGATTGGACGATGCATTGCGTCATTTGTATTTCTAAGAGAGTAGTATGGTGAGTTGAATGGCAGACATTCAACACATCCAGACTCAGTCAGACAGCCACCGAATGCTCGGGAAAGCACTGTATGACCGTTTCATCCACAGGGGATTCGTCAGCAGTGTTCATTCCATCTGATGCTTGTAGAGCACGAGTCTTCAAATCGACTACTACCAGTCTGTGGTCGGGACCACTGAGCTACGGGGTACGACAACGACCGTATGGATGTGAAGAACATCTTCCTATATCATTTAACACTTAATAATACTCTGCAGTAATCAATACGCAGACCTAACTGCTTGTAATGCTTTAAGTTATTCGGCGGCTTAAGTCTGACAAGTTCTTCACTTGGTGAAAAGGCTACCCTGTTCTCTGCGCAGCAGTCATGTGTAGATCATTGGATAGTGAGCGGCGCTGTATCACATCTAGTAACTTAGTCACGACGGTCCTTACTATCCCCCGTAATACAGTGGTGTTCACCACGGAGTGGTGACCGCCGGGTTGCAGGATCTACTACCACAGGGGTCAGATAGAACGCGCACTGCTGACGATTCCCGAAAGAATGAAACGCGCGTACAGTGCTTTTCTGGGCTTATGTTGGCTGTTTGGCTGAGTCTAGATGTGATGAATTGCTAGGTATATTTATATTTCTCTAAATAACTTTTGTTTACCATGAGGCTACATAATGCAATCAGAAGATGTGTTCCCAAATTCTAACCAGGTGGATATATAAATGCTAACAAGAAAACATCTCGATGAGTTTATGAGCGCGAAATCAAAGTTGACAGGCCTTACGCTGACTTGGCTATTTCATGTCGACCAGCCAAAGGAACTTGTTAGACATTACTGTTCCATTGGAATCAACAGCGTACACTGGTGATAGAAAGTTCGGAAACACCATAAAAGGAAGGTGAGTAATACTCCGATAAATGGTGGAATCCAATAGACAAAGGCGTAAAGAACGAATAGCAGAAAATGATGAGGAGGGGTGCATTATTGCGTTTCGGAGTAGAGGTGCTTTCCAAATAAGGGGCAGGAAAGATTCCGGAAAAGTACAGGGCGACATGGAAGCACCAGTTTCCACTTACCTGATGTACAATGCAATCGCATGATTCCCCACTTTCTCGGGAACTGGAGACGGAGGTCTGAGAACTGACGGATTCGGAAGGAGGAGGATCAGGCGGACAAGCTCGTTTACAGCCTGGTACCACGCGTCGATCCAATGAATCTACCACCATCGTTTTAGTTCCGTTTAAAAGCGGATGTGGGCAATCGGTCGTCTTGCGTCTGTCTAGATGTTTGTAATCAGATGATGACGAGGAGGAAGAGTTGTCCGAAAGGGAATCAACCGTTAACCGCCTCTTTGGGAGTAGAACCTTCTCCGTCACGGAGTCTGGGAAAAGGCGAATAACAAAAGATTCTAGCGGTCAAGTTGGAATGACATGACCTTCAGATGAACAAATAACAGCGTTGAAGTGATAAATTAACTGCGATGTTCACACAATTGCGTTAAAAAATTCGGTGATGGGGACTAAGAGTGTTGTGGAGATAGACCACAAAAAGTAAGATGCTTTCGTCCATCGGATTGTCGGCAAACCAACCATATGATGTACCCACCAGATATCAGCCAAACTGAATAAGCATGGCTGGTCGAAGGCAATTAGCCTGTTTACGTCAGTGCATTTGATGAAACAAAATCTGCAAACAGATAGTACAGTTGAGCTTGAAGACTTTTCTCTTCAGTAAGGGAGTAATACGGCACCGGCGCCATAGTGAGTGCGTAGACACCATGCAAGCAGACATCATGCACCAATGCCACTCAAATTAATGAGCAACTTTTTGACATGTCTCCGCAAGTCCGTGACCATAGTAACTTACATTACTCCAGGTTTACTCGCACTAAATGACATTTCTGAGAACGGACATAGCCGAAGTATGCGATTTGAACCTGCCAGGTGGAGCATGAAGTCTCGCAGGGGGGAATTTCATCAATGCTAACTGGTCGAATTCGAACAGGGTGGTGCATGATGTCTTTCTGAACAGGTATCGCGGGACAGTTGGAAGTGGATAAGCCGGAAGCAATCGAGAATCAAGCGTCCGTCCATTTTTCAGTAGCTGCTGCAGACGTTCAGTTGGATTGCTGTAGGAGGCGAAATATCTCGATCGATACGGTAGGGTTTCCGACGCCACACTCTGGACCACCACAACGAGCACTCGTCTCTTAGGTAATACGAGCGCTATGAAAGCTAGTCATTTTAGTTCGACATTTCGATGGCGGATAAACTACGCATTTCGACAGCCCAACAAGCGTGCTGAGATAAAGAAGGAGCGAGCGAATAAGCTGTTGCCCGATGCAGGTCCTCTGAAAAAGGTGGAAGAGTATTTGGAAGTGCACATTGTTCTATAAAGCAAAGGCTAGGGAAGTGAAATCCCCAGGATGATGATGAATTCTATCGAATCTTCGCTCTGCTGCCACAGCTCATTATCAACAACGGTATAACAGCCATTTAAACTAATGTTTCGATGCTATACACCCATTACTACCTGCGGCACGAAGAGTAATACGATGGAGAGAATGGGGAGTTACCGAATAACTTTAATACCCTAAGCAAACATTCAGGGTAAAGGCAACTTCATCACGTTAACATCACACCGTCACAAACAAGTGGCTATCGTGCTACCACAGAGATGAAAATGTATTTCACAGGATGTAATGCATTTTGTCCGACAAAGATTGTTCATTTAAAAGCGCTCACGGATCTGTGGCATAGTAATCAAGGTGTCAGCAGTTAAAAACTAGGCCCCGAGTTCCACGCCAGTTCAGGCTCTCTCCAACTGATGAATGCAAACGAGGACGAAACCGTCAATCATGTGGTGTCATCGCCGGGAGGAGCAACACCAAATCACATTTAAGTCTAATGTCTGGTTAACAACACTGCGATGTGGCGGATGAGATTCCCTGACTCGCCAATAAATGAAGTCACTGCCCATTGCTTCATTAAGGTGGACCAATGTATTTCAGCAGCTTTTTGTTGAAATAGAGAGAAGGAATGAGCTCCTGTTTATTTATTGCGAGTCCTAAAGTCGTACCCAATTTGAGCCCAAAGGATGAGAACCGATAAGTCGAGACTAATGAGGGAATGGTATGAGGCGAAGGGGTTGGAACACGGGCACGGTGGCTTTGATCCGAGGATAGGAAAGCGTGGTAAATGGCTAATGTTAAGGTACTTTCAGTATATATATATATATATATATATATATATATATCATGGTGCGTATTTAGATGGTTAGCAACATCCAGTTCCGGTTTCCCGTCGCTGTGGCCTCCATACGAAAGTCACAGGATGTCTGCGTCTACAGAGGGACCATGGGTGGCTTGCGTTGCACCACCCACAGCTCCATTCACACACACCTCATATCCAGTGTAAACCCGGAGGAATAAGACAGTGGGACATGTGAATGGGAGCCAAGTTTCATCAACGGAGCCCACACTCCTTCACAAATTAAAAGTAACAGACAGTATTTGGGGAATCAAGCGCACACAAGGCGGTGGCTGGACCGTGGTCCGGTCCACACTGAGTGCATGGAACCACTCGCTGAGCCTCGCACGGCTAAGAGGATCATGCACGCCGACCCCACCAGCCCCGATTCTCAGTATCCTGGAGCCAGTAATCGAGGTGGTGGGTAATAGGTGGGTTGGCACCTTGTCAATATTCACATTCAGCGCAGCCACACCGGGGATATCAAGCAACACTTGAAATGCGAGAAACTCAACAAGTGAGTATAAGTGCGGGCCAACTTTGCGAAGATGTAGCACACATACTACATCGGCTGCAATTATGGCCTCGGTCAGTAAACTGAATCGGAAGCAACATAATTACCAAGCACTGTGCTGATGACGATTACCTACTCAATTGACTTACAGCATCTTCGATGTTGAACCCACGTGCTATAGCTCTTGCAATACTTTATTGCATATATTCCCTCCGGTGGTTGCGATTGTGTAATGTGATTATGAACTACTGATCGTACCGGAAAAGGCATGTCTCGTAAAACAATGAACAAGCAGTTTCGGTATGATGCACGGGAGCAGATAGCTGTATGGTTGGAGTAAAAGACTATTCCATTTGAACAAGACAATGAGGAGATGAGCACTGCGAGGTGACAATATTTCGTGTATTATTACGATTTAATCATCATCGGGTGTGCCACGGAAATTCACGTTGTGAAAAGTGAAGTCTATTTGAAGCACAGAAAGAAGCTACTGACCAGTACAAGATAAGCATCGAAATACCAATTGTTCACCTAAACCAGCAGTTACTCAGATGCACTTAGCACATGCAATTCCAATGTAACGGTGGTAAATAAATAGACGGAGTGGCGATAGGATTTTTTTTGGATCATTGTTAGGTGATGTCTAAATGAGAACGATAAAGGATGGCCCACCAAAACCGATCACTTCGAGCTTACAGTTCTACCGACACATTCTGTAAAACTGATGAGGCAACTGCCGAAACTGCAGAATACTATCGAAAGTTTCAAGAGAGCACATTTCCAAGTCTCGTAGACAGCTGAAGTGACAACCAACTGAATAGTTTGCATGCAAAGTTAAGGTGAGGGTAAAGTGGATCAAACTAAACAGGACAAGACAGGAAAATAGATTTAGCAATGCACACATTTCCGGAGATTTGTGTCACCCAGTCGCGAAAGAATACTGGTACATACTTTGTCAAAACGTGTAAGCAAGGTATGTAACGAGGACATCTCTGAATGTGATCGTCATCATCATCATCATACACGTTAGCTGCAGGTGGAAAACACCTCAGCCGCAAGACAAAAAAAAAGTAAAAACGGAGGCACGCCGGCTGAGTCCGCCGTAACGGATGGACATCCTTCCGGAGAGTTAACCGCTGCAAAGAGAGTTATATTATGTCTAAACAATGAGATCGTGATTGGAAGAGGGTAGACAAAGGAACTCACAACACAAACGCTATTGTGGCCGGATCATAACCATATCAGCAAGTGTGTCCAACTAAACGTGTTCATTGTCCTTAGGATCCGAGGCAGGTAGTCGGGATGCACCAACCGAGGCCAACTTCGAAGTGAGGGCTTGTACTAATTTTAATCAAGTTATCGCTTGGCCTCCACTCCTCCTTTTCCAACCGCACCACCGGCGCGCAACCAATGCACGTCGCGGGAGTCGGTGGGTTGACATGAGCAACACGTAGCAAAGCCATCGGAGCCTGGTGCGTGATATAATGGTGTTGAGCAGTTCACTCGCTCTTCCTGCAACAAATACGCGATGCTGAATCCGCTCATTGCTAACGCGGTGCTCCCACCAGACATGAGCTAAGATGCGTAGGCAGCGATGATCGAAGGTGGATAGCCTCTTTATGTTTGTCGACCTAATGTACCGGGTTTCACAATCGTATAAAAGGGTTGAACGGACGGCTGCGTTATAAACTTTGCACTTCAGGGAGAGAGTAACGTTGCGTTGACGCCACAGATGGCGTAGATTGACGAAAGCACCTCGAGCTTTTGCTATACGGTTCGTAATCTCGAATACGATCCCACAGGCGCTAATATAGCTATCCAGGTACATGAGTTTCTGGACGACATCTAGCTGATCAACACAAAGGGTCAGCGCAGATATGGGTCCTTGCCAATCCTGGAGAAGAACTTTGCGATTCGATGGAGTAAAGCATAGCCCAAAACGATTGACAGCCAGAGCTAAGCGGTCCAGTGCAGTCTGGCACGTTTGGGCGCTGCCATATATGAGGGCAATTTCGTCCGTATACTCCAAGTCAATAAGTCGCTCACCAGGAAGTAGCTCCACACCTTCTAGGTCGTGTCCAGCGAACGCTGTTTCAATGACACTATCAATAGCGAAGTTAAAGAGAAGTGACAGCGCGCAACCTTGTCTCACACCGCGGGAGATATTGAAGTGCGTCGACAGTTTGCCAGAAGCGCTCACTCCGCCCGAACTATGTGCATACAGCGCTTATACAATGTTTACATATATATCAGACATACCTTTCCTGAGCAGACAGTTTCAAAGGGCACATCGATACACCTAAGCGAAGGCACCTTTGATGTCGAGAAACACGACAACGGTGCGTCGCCAGTAAACATGCTGGTGCTCTAACAATCGACGCAAAGTGGCCAATGCATAACTGATTTCGACGAAACCCGGCTTGCACTTTGTGGATCTGGTCTTCATTAGCGCCAGTCAATCTGTGGAGAACGACAGATGCAAGCAATTCAGAGGCAACTGAGATCAGACTGATCTCTTTATGGTTGTCGCATTCCGAACAGGAGCCTCCCTCGGAAATTAAAACTATGACGGAGCGGCTCTAGGCTGTCGGGACAGTTTCCTGCTCGCAAAATGCCATA